GAGCCAAAAGTGCATGTCTTACATTAAGAGGTTATTACCTTCTTTTTGTCTTCTTTATTTTGGATGGGTACAAAAGAAAAGTAGTTATAAAAACAGCAAAAAAACCCAAAGGAGATGCAAACTGCAGTCCAACCCTCTGGTTGCAGCTGGAGCCCAGCTGGGAGGAAAGGGACTTCTAAGGCAGAGAAAAGGGAGACTCTGATTATTTATTAGTGGCCGATGTTTGATTGCTTGCTAATCAGACCAGAGAACACACTCGGGCTCCCCGGCCTCCCTGCTCACATGTGGTTCCTGTTGCTTTGCCCCTTCCCCCCCTCCCTCTTCTCTGGTTTTGCTTTGTTTGTTTTTCTGTTAATTTGGTTGTTTTTCCATGTCGTTTTCTGTCAAACCGCATGTTTTTTCCCCTTTCTCTCTCCAGCCACTGCAGTGACAGACATGGAGGAAGGAGGCCAGCCCAGAGCAGCTTGCCCTCTGCCAGTCCCTTTCCCATTGTCTCTTGGGGCAGCAATGCCCATGAGGCAGGGATGGCACTTGACGCGGGGCTGCGTTCACCCATGCCACCACTTCATTGCCTGCATCCTGACCTGTAGCCCTGGTGTCAGAGAGGATTTTGTCTCTCATGCAGACCCCACCACTGCCTGAACCCCAGCCCCCTTGTCAGGCAGCGGCTGGCAGAGCAATGGGGTCAGCAGCACAGTGCTTGGGCATCCCCAAACCTGAGTGGAGGGATGAATGGAGAGATGCAAACAGGCAGAGCCACTGCGCCAGGATGGCAATAAGCAGGTTAGAAAGGGACGGTGGGATGGGAGTAGAAGGATGAACGCCTGCCCTGGCTGCCTCCCTCCCTCCCCTCTTTGCATACAAGGCCTCCCTGCTCCCATGTGCGCTCTCTGGCTTCTGGCAGCCTTTCCGCCGTGCGTTTCCACTCCTCTCTGGCCCATTAGCAGTATTTTTATAACATTCTGTAACACACGGAGCCGTGTGCCAAACCTCAAGAGTGCATTATTTCCCAACGTCTTTGTTATATCCACCCCCAGGCCCTCCGGCTGCATGTTTCCAAATGCAGAACTGTGGCTTGCAGGGGCAAGCCGGGAGCCCAGCACCACACTCCTGGTATCCGGAGCCTTCCCCTACCTCCTGCCTGCTCTTGGTGCTCAGCCCTGGGCTTCAGACAGGGATACCCAGTATGCCAAAACCCCTGGCCCCATTGCCTGCTGCTTCTGGACACACTTGGGCATCTGCTGCTCTCCAGGCTGCAGGGCATGATATCTATTGGAGATAAACACAGAGCATCCTGGTTACTCTCCTGTGCTTCACTTCATGCTCATCTGCCTGAAAAAAGGAGGCAGAGCAACAGGTTGTTGCTCTAAGTCCTGTGGAAGAGTCTTCCCTGGAGAAGTGCCACCTTTTCCTGAGCTGGTTTGTGCTTGGGATGACCCATTCCCTGGAAATGAGTGATCTGGGACTCTTAGGGATAAGCAAGCCCATGGGGCCCTTCCTTATCTCCAAGGTGAGCTCTCTGTCAGTCACCCCATCCCTGGGTTCACACTGTCCCCCCACTGCATGTGCACTGTTGTCCTCATCCCTGGAGCAGATGAGACAGCCTGGCTACCCCCAGCCTCCGCCCCATGATGTGGACTTGGGTATCAAACCCAACTACAAGGACCAATTGAGCTACCCATGTCCTTCAGCCTCCCTGCTGAAGCCACTCATGAGACATCTTCATGCAGTCTGTGCCTTTTGCACCATTGCACAGTATTCTGGTCCCTCCATTGTAAAATCCCCATCCTAGTAACCCCCCAGGTACTCCACAGCCACTGGCACATCCCACCAGAGCTCCCTGGTCCTTGTGGGACAGAAACATTACGGGAAACACCACTGAGAGCAGTCCAAAGGCTGATGGTGAAGCTACTCTATCCCTCCAGCAGCTCCCCTTTCAGCACAATCTGATCCCCTTTAGCCGTCTCCTAAGCCATGTTCCAACTCTTGTATTAATCCACATTTTCTCTGGTTTAACTCGTAATTTCCCAAGTGGCACCATAGCAAATACTTCACTGAAGTCAAGACAGATTACAGTGACCACATTTCTGGGCTTAGAAAATCAGTTCCCTTATCAAAGAGAGCTATCAGGCTAATCTGGTGCAGTTATTTCCCTGGCAAGTCCCTCTTCTATTTTTCCCCCATTTTCTGTTTGCCTCCAGGTCTTTAATTGCTCCCTCTTCCAAGCGCACCCCAGGGCCCCACCGTTCTGTGGGGTCAAGCTGTCTGACCAGGATTTTTCCTTCACTCATACACAAAAGACGTGTCACCGCTCCCACCACCACTGACCTCTCAGCTGCTAATGAGCTCTGCTAACAAACAGGAGTGTCCTCACCTGGAGATGAGGTGTTCCACAAGCCTTCAATGCATCTTTTTCGTTGAGGAAGGACCATCTCCAGGTTTTATCCTCCTTCTGCTCCTGCAGCCTGCACTGCCCTCGCTCTCAGCATCACTGCTCAAACCTGGCAGGGTTCATTCCTTGTGGGGCTGTGCTGAGCTTTCCTTTAATCTCCCCTGAAACCTGGCTGCAGAGCCGGCTCCACTCTTCTCTCCTTGTTTGCTCCACATTTATATGGCTAACCCCCCTCTTCATTTCCTCTGCAAGGTCTTGCTCAGCTTGACTCCTGGCAGATCTCCCTCCATCCCTGTGCTTGCTGACCCTTGCAGTGGAGCTTGCTTTGCTAACTGACATCTTTCCCTGTCCACATCACTTCTCTGCTCCCTCCCCACATCCTTCCTGTGGTGTTGTCTGCCCAGGAGCACCCATCCACACTTGAGGAGATGCTCCAGGTACCATTGTTTATTTAATGAGATCCCCAGCACCTCTCTGTGTGCAGCCTCGAGCCCCTCACTCCTGCTGCCTTTATCTTTTTTGTTGCCCCAGTAAGAGATGAAAATGCAGCCACAGGCCTGTTTTCATTTAACTTCCCATACAATTGAAACGAAATGAGCCCAAGCTCCCTCAAATCCGAGGCTTGGGCTCCCAGTGCACTCAGCTGCAGCAGGGATGCTACCACAAGGCCATGCTGCAAACCTCCCACAGGCCACCCATCTCCATCACTGTGCCCATGCCCATCCACTCCTGGGGTGCTCCTAAATGCACTTCTCTGCAGCAGCTTGCTCACCTTCAGAGAATCAATCATGCCCCACAGACACATAAAAGTTGGTGGTGGGGGGAAGATGTTCAGGGGGGGCAGCAGCGCTGGGAAATGAAATCTCACATAGAACATTAAATTAAAATCCAGGCAATTAAATTAATTACCACTAAAAGCGTCTCACCTGATTAGTTCCTTGCATACTTAATTGCATTAACAACACCAGGCATTCACTTATTTATTTCTCTATCTCTCTCTCGAGGCTGGTGGCCCCTGCAGTGTCCAACTGGGCTCTTCAGCTGCCCAGTACTCAAGGGGACTGTGAGCCTCCAGCAAATGGGAACACGTGGTAATAGGAAACAGCAGGATTTGGGCTCTAATGCTGAGCAATTCCCACGGGTCCTTGAGCGGATTGACAGGGATTATCATTAGTGAGGTGCTTAGCAGATGGAAGAGCCATTGCAAAGTCACAGTGATGCCACAGCTGCAGAGGAAGCAGTTTCAGGCTGCAAGCTGTTGCCTGTCCCCTTGTTTCTTCCATACCTGGCCTGGAGACCCCCCCTGCACTGGCATGGTGTGGGACCTCTGCCAGCAGGGGATCTGGTGAGTGTGTGCCCAACCAGAGGAGCTGCACAGCCTCCTAGTGCCTTCCCTGCTTCTGAACTACCTGTGAACGCCTCCTCACCCCCACAGCATGGTTAAGATACCTCTAACTCACCTATCACTGCCTTTTTGTTTGCCATGCTCCCAGACTGACATCTATTCATTGCCATAACCTTTGCCCTATGATGACTGCTCCCCCTTCACCTGCTTCTCACATTGCCTTTCAGCTTCTTCTAGCACCCCTTACTCTAGGACCATGTGCCAGGGACCTACCTTAGGAAGACCCTGAACCATGAACTGGACACTGGAGCAGCTCTGATACTTGGATTTCTTCAGTCAGGTGCAGTGAGCCACTACTGCCTGGTTTGCAGGGCTTATGCAGGCCACGGCTGGAGCTCCTGTGACCTTCAGCCCCTGGACCATGGCCTAGGGTGGAAACACTGCCCTGGCTCTGATGCCAGGTGTGGAAGGTGAGACGAGGAGCAGAGAAAGGCTCTGCCATGTCCTCCAAACCTGGTAACATACAGCCACCTCATAATGCATCCCCAACTGATGCCTCGCAGCACCTTCCACAGCAGTTACCATCCCACAGCCAGCCAATGCTAGCTGGTGCTCCCAGACACCCATCGCTGTTGGCTGCAGACACCGTAGTGTGAAGCATGGAGTTGTAATCAGCTGTACAAACACAGCAGCCACCAAACACACAACTGCTATCAGCTCTTGTCATCGTGTGAAACACAGCACAACTCTTACCTCCCGCGCCTGCGAGACCTGTGAATCAGCGCATCTCACAAATGCAAAATGCTGGGGAATGTGCAGTTGTCCTCCAAGATGCCTGTACACAGAGGCTCCTGCAAACACACAGCAGCTGCCACCACCTTTTGGCTGTGCCTCTGAAACAACCATGTTGTGGTAGACTTGGCCAGGACTTCCTTCTAGTCTGCAATTCCCTCTGAGAGCCCAGCCCCAACTCTTAACACCAGAAGAGATGGTGGTCATGGCACTGGGCTGGATGGAGAAGTAACATCCCTCCTGAAATTATTCCTGGGGCATCATTTAATCTGCCTGCTTCAATGCAAAGTTTGGGGAAGGAAGGGCTGATTCCAGCATCCTGCTGCTGGGTTGCTCATATATCAGACTGTGGCAGCCAACCATAGGTATGGAAGGTATAGGGGCTGGGATGACAGGAGGGGCTGTGAGGGTCTATATGTGAGCAGAGAACATGGCTCTGTGCCCCTCAGTGCCACATGCTGGGGTACTCACCTCCCACACGCAGGTAGGTCTGGTACTTGAGGTGCCAGGAGGAGCCCTCGTAGCAGGAGTACTGACCGCTCTGCGACAGGTCGACATTCTTCAGGATAAGGTAGGACCCATTCAGGTGGGACTCATCAATGTCAGTGCCATTGGCTGTCCAGGTCACAGCTGAATCCCAGTCCATGGAGCCACACTTCATGGTCACATCTGCGCCTACCCGCTCATACTGGATGTGGCTGTCTGTAAGGAGGAAGAGAAAACCGGGTGAGCTTGGAGCCCTTTGGGTGCAGATGCCTTGGAAATAGGATTTTACCATCACATCTAGGGAGTGAGAGAAGGGCTGGGACATGGAGTGCTATTGTGTTGGTGGCTAGGGAAGCCTGAGTTCTCCTCCTGGCCCTGATAATGATTTATTTTAACCTTAGACTACAGTGGATCAGCTGGCAAAGACCAGCGGACAAGGACTCTTGGATGACCTGCATCTCTTAGGATACTTTCTTCTGACCTTTACATGAGGAGACATGTGAGGGCTGAATGTATGGCTTGCCAACCAAATGCCCCACAGCACAGACAGATGCTCACACCAGCAAGTCACTGCCACTCCTGTACCTATATGACCTGTTGCAGGATGCAAACCAAACGCATGCATCAGAAACTCCCTGCAGAGAGATAACGGAGCCCCAGGAGCTGCCACCAGCAAACTCAAGATGTTTACTGACAGAGGGGAAGCAGGAAGCTGTTCCTGAGATTCCCTGCAATCTAACCATGCTCTGCTGTGGGAAGGGGCAGCTGCGTGGTGCTTGCTATGCTGTTTGTCTCTCTGCCTGGCTTTTCTTCTATCTCTACAATAACATGATGCCTTGCTGAGCTATTTGATTTAGCAGTTTGTGAGTGGGGCAATACAGCTCATTGGGCACCAGCTGCCTAATTTAATTTTCTCAGGTTTCTGGACAGGAGCTCAGGCTGGCGTTCATTAATGGTCCTTAGCAATTGAATCTTTCCCATGTCGCTACACTGGCTGTGCAGAGCTGCGTGTGGCAAAGATAAAATGCTGTGTGTATGTGCATGACACAGGAGGAAGCAGGATAGGCGGATGAGCAGGTGTTGAGGCTCTTTCAAGGCTTCATCAAGCCTTTATACATAGACAAAGGCGGTCCAGTTCTCAAAATACTCCTGGGTTTCAAAAACACATTTGACAAGGTGCAGCCCAAGGAAACCAAGCAGCCCTGACCCAGGAGGAAAGTCATCACAAGGATTTATAGCAGCTAAAGGTCAGGAGACCAAAGGTGGGAACAAGCTGTCAGACATGGCAAGTAGAAGACGTCACCAGTGAAGTTCAACAGGGATCAGAGCTGGATCAGAGCTGCCCAGCACCCTCGTAACTCATAGGTAAAAGGTGTCGAGGCAGAGAGAGGAGGTAGTGTGCTGTCAGGGCAGCCAAATTACAGCTGGGTTCAAAAGCTTTGCAGAGGGACATCATGGTACAAACCCACTGGGCAATAACACTGTGATAAATGCACATGGATGCACACAGGGAAAATGAAGCCCTGCTCTCCTCTACACACTCACGTCTCCCAGTGAGCTGCAGCCTCCATGGAAACATGTCTTGGAGTCATCATGCTCACTTTACTGAAAACATCAGCTCGGTGGTGACCAAAACACAAACCCAACACTAGGAATTACTCAGAAAGGGACTGAGAACAAAGTGCTGTACCCTAAAAGCTGGGCACAAATCTGCCCTCATGCCATTAAGAGTTAGGTTCAGCTAGAAACAGAGCAGAGAAAAGAAATAGGAATAACAAGTAATGGAAACCCCACACAAAGATGGCTTAGCAGACTCGATCCCTTCATCCATAAAAGGAAGGAGCTAAGCAAAGATGTGATAGACACCTAAGCAATGAAGAGGGACATGGAGAGGACAAACAGAGAAAGACCGCTTGCTCTTTCTTCTAATAAAATGAGAGACAGAAAATGAAAACAAGCAAAAGAAAGTGCTTTTACCCATGTTCATTAGATGCTGAGATGTCAGCATCTGGGGTGAAATAGCGCTTATGGGAGTCCATAGCAGAAGACACCACCCAGGGTGGTAAAACACTGAGTTGCTCAGTGAACCTGGGGATGCTGCATGCAGCTGATGGTGGGGAGGGACAGAAGAAGCACCCCCATGCTTGTCCTGCTATTTTCTTCCTCTCTAGACATTAGCTCCTGGGATCCTGCTGGTAAGTGGGACCACATGAGCATGATCCAGCCATTCCCTGTGTGAAAACCCACAACATGAGTCCATCTGCAAAGGACAGAGTTCAGAGGCAAAGCTGGTCACTGGCAGGTCTGGGTCCTCCTGCAGATGGTCTGTCAGGACACTCACTTCTGACAGTGAAGCAGCACTTTTGGGGATGCTATCCCTGCTGGGAAGGGGGGTGCAAAGAACAGATGGGAAAAAATTGGGCTGCGGCAAGTAAGATGCTGTTGAGGTGCCTCAGGATCATCTTAGTCAGTATCCAAGGGTAGTGGCCTTTGAGAAACTGCGCTGATCAAACAATTGTGTTTCAAGTGTCTTAAAAAAGGTTAGAATATACACTGACAGCCAGCAAGAGGGGAGGACATTTAAGATGAGGCATCTGGGTGAGGAGAGGTAGTTGGAATGGGCCCAGATAACAGGAAGATAGGTAGAACTGTGGAAGAAGGTGGGGTGGATGGGTGGATGAATGTGCCTGATCAGAGATAGAGAGCTGGATGGGCACAGATGGGATGGCAAGAAGCGTATGAAGATGAAAGAATGTATGACTATGCATGTATATGGGCATACATGGGGATGCAGAGATGTGGAGCAGGATGGAGGGGATAAGCATGTAAGTAGCTGCTGTCTGGCTGTGTATGTGGATGGAGAGATGGGCGGACAGATGGGTGAATGGATGAATGGAAGGAGGGATGGAAGGACCAGTGAATGGCAGTGGTGTTTGGCAGATGGTTGGCTGTTCGAATGACTGTGGAGGTGGATGGAGGGGTGGGTGGATGGAGGGGTGGATGAATGGATGGATAGACAGACGACTCAGCAGAAGGGTGAATGGATAGATACAGGTAACAGAGCTAAAGTAAGAGCTCCCAGCACCTCACTTAAGTTCTCCTCTAATTTCTTAGATTACATAAGGTAAAGACATTTTCTTTTCTTTCTGCTGGCTCTCAAAAGGCTGTCCTGGACTTACAGTTGGGATTCTGCAGGGCAGAAACACTGGAGATGCTGCACCAGGTTTTGAGAGCAGGGGAAAGCTCTGCGGTGTCCAGCTCTGCTTCTCAGGACTGTGGCTGAGGGCTTGTCTGTAGCTGGTGACAGCAGGACTGAGCTGGGAAGGGGGTAAAGGCACCTTGAATTATTTCCTATTTGTCCTTAAACACAGTGCAAACACGTTGGCACTCATCCAGAAGGGCTGAGGGAGCCATTCCTGGAAGACAGGTCTTTGAAAGCAATGCTCCTTTCCAAGGCAATGATTTAAGACCCCTGATGAAAGAGAAACCCAAAGCGTAGCTTCAGAGGAGGCATTTCTCCTGGCTGGGTTTGTGGAGGCTCCTACTGGAGCCAAGCCAGGTCCCCACATCCCTCCGGCCTCGTGCCAGGCATAGGAATATTACACAGCTGCTGTGCGAACACGTGGCAGCCCCTTTGGGGAGGGACACCATGGGGCAGACCCCTAGCAATGCTGTAGACAACAGTTTTGCTTTAGAATGGGAATGGGCAAGGGTGACCAGAGCTTTTACTGGGAGCCTTTACTTCCCACAGGCAGGACCCCTGCCTGAGCCCACCCAGAGCCTCAAGGCTCATCGAGCAAGGATGGGAGGGAAGCTGGTCCCCCTTCCTGGTCATCGTGTCACTGGTAACATAGGGGATTGATGACAAAGGTGGTTCTTGTGCTGCAGGGCCAGCCCTGCTGGATGGACATTGACTGGTGGCATAGGCAGAACTAGGGCCAACAGCTCAGGTGTTTCAAGCTGGATGTGGAGGAAAATTTATTCTCCTTGAGGGTGATGCTGTGCTGGGATAGGCACCCACAGAGAGAGGGTTATCTCTGTCCTTAGAGGCTGTCAAGGCTTTGTTGACAAAGCCATGACCAATCTGTTCTACAGTTGAGGATAGTCCTTTTCTCAGTGGGACACTGAACAAGACACTTGAAAGATCCCTTCGCACCAACCCTGCTGTGACCATTGGCTAGAATTGAGAAGTCAAGAGGCTGCCCTGCCCTACACCATCCTGCTTCTCCAAAGGATGTTGCTTTTTGGGTCACCTGACAGCACAAGACTGAAGCACACATGATGGAGAGCTTGTGATGCTGTACCCCAATCAGCAACATGCCTTTAAGCATCCACCCCGAAGGGCCACATCCTCTGCTGCAGCACAAGACACCAGCAAGGCACAACACAGTTTACAATGCAGAGTCCTGAAGCTCAAGAGAAGCTGTGGTGATGTATATGTTACGTTGAGACATTCAAGGCCAGGTTTGATGTGGTTCTAAGCAGCCCGATCTCTTTAAAGATGTCCCTGCTCATTGCAGGGGTTTGGACTAGATGAGATGTGAAGGTCCCTTCCAACCCAAACCATTCTATAATTCTATGATTCTGTTCTGTAACGAAGGTGGAAATTACAGCTTTACCCACAGCCCTGCAGAGCTGCAGTGGAGGGAAGACAGGAGCTACCCATGGGACGGACAAGCACAGCTCCCCATGGTAGACTTTGGGTAGTTCGGAAACAAGAGCTGTGAGCTGCTTTGCTGTCCTCCTAGGGATGACGAGTGACAACTTGATGGTGCAGTCTGTGCAGCTGCAATGCTACGAGGACCAATGGGACAGCAATCTAGCAGAGAAACATGGACAGAAGATGAGACAAAGCAGTTGAGATGTGGGGCCCATGGGAGCACATTTGATGTTTCCCAAACCCACTCTGCTCAGCTGGAGCTCTTCAATAGAAACATCACCCTCATTTTCCTTCTTAATGAATCTTGACAAGCATGGAGACTTCAAGGGTAGCAATGCAGGGAAATCCTGCAAACTCCTCTTGGGATGCTCTAGTGCCTGCTCTCCCTCTGTCCCTTCTGATGCTCTCACCCTGCCAGCATGGGCAGCTGCCAGCCACAGCAAGTGTGCTGCTGGACACTGCAGCATGCACAGAGCTATGCCAGGGATGTAGCTCAAGGGCTTTGTGCCCAGATGCCTGAGGGGTCTTTTGAACAGTGAGCAGGGGAAGTGGACAA